AGAGTGGCTGTTAAAATCACTCTTTTTCACTTTTTGAGTCTGATTTCTCAGCGCTTTTTATTATCAAGCCAAGATACATTATGTCTGCAATTAAACATTTCTCATTAAACTCTTCCAACACTAAACAATCTGAGCTATGCTGTTTGCATTAATTTTATATATTAATTTAATTAATTTAATTTATTTGTTTAACTTGAAGTACTAAACTCATTAAAACTACAACTGAATTAAAAATAACAACTAAACATAAATGTGCTAAGATCCAGAAAAGTTACAAAGTTACTTATAGTTAATAGAATGTCTAAAGTGGACTATCGAAATAAAGTGTAACCGTAAATATATGTATATATATATATATATATATATATATATAATGTTGACAGTTTTCTAACTAAAAAAAAATCAACATTACCAAATGATTTATGATATGAGTCAGTAGCTCCAAAAGAGCTCAGAGTGGCTGTTAAAATCACTCTTTTTCACTTTTTGAGTCTGATTTCTCAGCGCTTTTTATTATCAAGCCAAGATACATTATGTCTGCAATTAAACATTTCTCATTAAACTCTTCCAACACTAAACAATCTGAGCTATGCTGTTTGCATTAATTTTATATATTAATTTAATTAATTTAATTTATTTGTTTAACTTGAAGTACTAAACTCATTAAAACTACAACTGAATTAAAAATAACAACTAAACATAAATGTGCTAAGATCCAGAAAAGTCACTTTATTAAATATGGAAAGTTTATGTCTATATATATATATATATATATATATATGTCTATATTCCAATGATGCATCTATATGTCTATATATAGCGCATCTAACAGAGCATTCCTATATGTTCGGGGTTCAGACACACTCTCTCTGTTTAAATCTAGATTAAAGACACATCTTCTTTGGCCAATCAAATAATGAATGATATCTTATCATTTTATATTTAGATAAAGATGGAGTTTTGATACCAGAGTATATTATTTTTGTCTCACTCACTGTTGCACATTATTATTATTCTTTAGTTTGGGTTAAACAAATCAATTTTGCTTGGTTGGAACAGCAGCTACGCTAATTATGTCTCTATTTGTTTCTCTGTTTTTGCTAGGATTTACACAAGCTTCAGTCTGGATCCAGAACACCTGAGAAGAGATGATGCCAACCCCTCAGAGGAGCTCAGATGATGCCAACCCTGAAACAACTTACAGAACTACCACATTTTGCTATACGTTTGATTGCATCATATAATAATTGCTGTTAATAGCGTTCATCGTCCGTTTGATTACGTCTTTAATTAATTTTTCCGTACATTTCTGCCATATGTACATTAACTGACAGTCACCACTGATAAGCTACCACTAAATATTGTAGAAACTTAATTTGCTGTAAAGTTGCTTTGCAACGATTTGTATCGTGAAAAGCGCTATACAAATAAACTTGAATTGAATTGAATTGAATATGTGAATCAATCTGGAAAGCCATAAGTCATTTTTTTCTTTGCACAAAAAATAAATAAATAAATAAATCAACAACAGTGGGTTTTCCAATCATGCATCTCAGGAAAACACACACAGTATGCAAAAGAGGGAATCTTGGAAGAGGATCCCTTTGGCACAATGGGAAATTTCTGATGTGGGGTTCCTAACTGGTGAAACATGTTTCACAGTGGCAGGTTTACAAATACAGTGCTCATAACACCAGACAAAAAGGAACAAAATTACAGAAAATGCCTTATTGTGCATAAGAAAAATTATGTTTTTTGGAAAATTATGAATATCTCCATAATACTGGTGGAAGGAAAATATAAATTATAACATTTGCATTGTTGCAACTCCTTCTTGCACAATAAAATAACTAGTGTAGGCACAACAATGATAATGATCAAAGCATGCTGGGAGAGATGCTTGTGTGTTGGAGGTCTGCCCATTGTCATAACTGTAGTTCACAGGGGGTTAACGTCACTTCTGACTATAGTCAAACTGAAATTTCTCATGGTCAAGGAGAGTTAGTCAGTAACATTTGGCAGATTGAGCCTGCCAATGTGATTATCGTAATGTGGAAAGGATTCACAGGTTAACATTTCAACTGAGAATCCGTAACCTTATGATCAGGCACGTAACGTGCATTAAATACATAATCTCATAATGAGTTTAATCTCATTCTCATGCTGAGGTCATTATTGCAGTGTGTGCAGGAACAGTTTGGCAGCTCAATGAGAATTTGGCTGGTAACAGCATTTTAACATTTTCACAGCGTGACAGGGAAAACCTCTACAGCAGATCTGTGTCACCAGCAGAATTCCAGGGCAAGGTTATCTAGTGGTTTGCTCAACCTACAACCTGATTAATAGGTGCCATTAAGCCAAAGCCCAAAGCTCTGAGTTACAAAAAAACAGCACCGTCTCTTGAATTCAGCCAATCCATTTACAACAGACAGATTAAATGGTGGTGGAACAGAGGTAACTTAAACGGGAATGCAGTGAAATAGAACACGGACACACGGAATCCCCATGACTTTTCCATGACCTCTCCAGCTAAATAAATAAATTGTATATATATATATATATATATATATATATATAATGACAAGGTGGAGATAGGTCTCCTGGGGTATCTGGTACCATAATGTTAACAGCAGGTCCTCCAGTTCCCGTACATTGCAGGGTGGTGGTGATGTAGCACGAACCTGCTTTTCCAAGTCGAAAAACAAATGTTCGATTGGGTGACTTTGGAGTTCAACAGAAATTCGCCATCATCTCCCTCGAACCACTCCTTGACATTTCTGGCAGTGTGACATGACGCAGTATCCTGTCGGTAATGGTCATCACCAGCTGGGAACACAGTTGGCATGAATGGGTGCACTTGGTCCACAACGATGTTCAGATACCTGAAAGCTGTCAGGGATTGTGCTATTGGGATAACGGGGACTAAAGTGTAACACCGCCGGCCTGTGTCCGCCCCAACATTGCACCCAGGTGCCAAAGCCTCTGTTGGTAAACAAAGTATTCGTACTCGGCCGTCGACGTGATGCACCAGGAATCTTGATTTGTCAGACCAGGCCACTTTCTTCCAATCATCCAGGGTCCAATTTCAATGATCTTGGGCCCATTTCATGCGTTATTGGTGGTGTGCAGTTAGCATGGGGACCTGGCTGGGTCGTCGGGTATGCAGGCCCATACGCAGAAGGCTGCGATTAATTGTGTGCTGTGACACATTGTCCTGGTCACCACTGCTGTAGCTGCTGATGATTTGTTGCACTGTGGCCCTGCATTCGCTGTGAATAATGCGTGATAGTCTCCATTCCGCTCAGGCATCATTGATCTGTGGACGACACACGGCTGGATGACGGTTCGTCGTTTGGCCATCCATGTAACACTTTTGATACATACTACAGCGGCACATGAACAACCCACAAGGTGCATTGTTTCCGAGATCGAAGTTCCGAGGTGCCATGCCATCACAATTTCTCCTTTTTCAAACTCTGATAAATCGACAGGTTTTCCCTTTCTGACACCAAACTCTCTACTGACAAAGCCGGTCCTTGGGTGGTATATATACTGCTCTGTGAACTGCACCTGCGGCACTATTTGGTGTAATGGCTGTATTATGTAATGGCTAATTTGTGTGAATATATATATAAATAAATATAAATATAAATATATTACATTATATTTTAAGGGAATTTTTTCATCCAATGTTGCTTCAGTATTTGCAAAAAGAAAGAACAAAAAAATAAATGCAGCTATAAAGTTTTCAATGGCTCACTTCAAAAGACACAGATGGTTAGTTTTTCAATTCCAAGCTGAAATGAAGACTGATGGAAGCCTTTAAAATGCACGTTGCCTTCATTTACCCAGCATGCCCTTTATTACAAGATTAAGCAGTACACCAACAAAATTATTTGTATACTATGTTCTTTTTTAATTTATCAACATGATCTAAGTGAATAAAGGAAAATACAAGCAGAATTGTGTGTGTGTTTATACTGTCCCCCTTTGCTGCATAATGTGCAGTACAAATGTAAGTAAACCATTCAAAGGTGGATGTTACCTGGAAAACACTGTGGTGTTAAACCTGTTTGTTTAAACGATCTGAAATGACAGCATCGGGCTAAGCAATAGCAAGAGTTTGGACGAAACAATCTGTTTATCTAATTACTGGAAGGGAACATTTAGAAATAGCCAAAGCTGAAGTGCATGTAAAGCCATGGAAGACAGTAATATCATGTTATTCCATGAAAATCCCTTTTGCCATAGGAGATCTTACTAAAATCTCATTTTAATAATATTTTTTTTTTGTTTAATTTTTTTTTAAGTTTAATTCCAAAAAATTGATAGCAATTTGACAAGAACCAATGATGTTTGAAGTCAATAACATTTTAATGCACACAGGCAAGAATCATATTTGAGTTTTCCAGTGAAAGGGAAGATTTTCAGTGAAAAACAACTTCATTTTGGATTTTTCCTCACAAAAATCTATCAAATGATTTCAGAAGATGGAATATACTGCATGCATCATATACAGTAAGTAATGGACAGTCCACAGCTAGGTGAGTATGAAACAACTGCTGTCATTGATGTTTACAGTGCAATTTGACCATAAAAGGTAAAAATTATGGTTATTTTCATCAGTTGTGGCTTGTTAGATCTAGCCTTCTGCCTACTTTAAATCAGAAATAATCATATAAACAGTTTTAATGCACAGCCAAACAGAATATTGGAGCTTGTTAGGCATTGGTCACTATCCATTTATGATCTGGAAATCATCAGACTGACTGTTCTACTAAACTTTTTTGTGCACCACATAATCAACGTTTAGAACAAAAGCAGAGTAGATAATAACAGTAGTTTCATTTCTTGGTAAACGATTCACTTCTGAAATACATGTACATACCAAAACATTTAAACAGTCAAAAGATAAGGTTGCATACAAAAAAAAAAAAATCCTGCAGTATATACAGGGATGCTGTCTAACTGATACCACAAACATGTGAAATTCTGCTTACCTTTGCAATCTGCACACACCAGTTGAGCAGCAGCTGGGAGCCGATGTTCTCCTGGTGTTCATGTACGTAGTCCAGCAGGCAGCCGTGGGGCATGAGCTGAGTTACCAGCTGAATAGTGGGACTCAAGCAGACCCCCAAAAGACGCACTAGATGAGGATGCTCCATGCTGGCCATGATCAATGCCTCCTAGTGTCCAGAAACAGAAAATATCAGGTTGCTGAATCACAAAAAGAAAATGTTTCTCATGGGAGATAAAAAGTTATTTTATGTAAACCTGCTAGACAGAAATCTTTGACTGTTCATTGACATATTTTACAGTATTTCATGTATATGTGCGCACTTTTAAGATGAAACACAAGTGTCAAATCAGGACACTTCACGGGGAAAAAAAATCTAAATGCTTGTATGTATATATATATATATATATATATTCTCTATATATAAAGTGTTACCATATATATATATATAGTATTTATTTACTTTAAAAAAAATGAAGGGTCTGTAATTGTTACGGTAGGTTTATTTTAACATATAGAGACAGAATACAAACCAGAAAATCCAGAAAAAAAAATGCATTATATAAAGGTTAGAAATTGATTTGCATTTCAGTGAGTGAAATAAGTATTTGATCCCTAAGCAAAACATGACTTAGTACTTGGTGCAGAAACCCTTGTTGGTGAGGTCTGGAGACTGGCTAGGCCACTCCATGACCTTAATGTGCTCCTTCTTGAGCCACTCCTTTGTTGCCTTGGTGGTATGTTTCGGGTCGTTGTAATCCTTGAATACTTATCCATGACCCATCTTCAGTGTATTGAGGTCTGGAGACTGGCTAGGCCACTCCATGACCTTAATGTGCTTCTTCTTGAGCCACTCCTTTGTTGTCTTGGCGGTATGTTTTGGGTCATTGTCATGCTGGAAGACTTATCCATGTCCGATCTTCAGTGTTCTGGCTGAGGGAAGAAGGTTCTCGTCCAAGATTTTACAGTACATGGCCCCGTCCATTTGCCCCTCAATGAGGTGAAGTCGTCCTGTACCCTTAGCAGAAAAACAGCCCCAAAGCAACCACCTCCGTGCTTGATTGTAGGGATGGTGTTCTTGGGGTCATAGTCACCATTTCTCTCCCTCCAAACACGGCAAGTCGAGTTAATGCCAAAGAGCTACATTTTGGTCTCATCTGACCACAGCACTTTCTCCCAAGCCTTCTCTGAATAATTTAGATGTTCTTTGGCAAACTTTAAACGGGCCTGTATGTGTGCCTTCTTGAG